TTCTGTGGAAAATTTTGGATTTTCAAGCTGGTTGTCGTGGAAAATTCAACTAACAATCCGGCGTCTTCGTGGCCAAATTGGGGTTTTCTGGCCTGAATTTGTAATAGGAACTAGTGTTACTGTCCCCTGCTGAAGAACTGGGATGGGAAATTTGTGGGACCTCAAGAATTACGTGTGGATGGTGCAAAATAAGGGATACGACAAGTACTCAAAGGGAAGTGCACCATTAGTCCTTTCACTTATTTCTCTAGCTGACCAGTGTAGAGTCTAGGTGTCAAGTAGGTGTTGTGGTGTGATCCATCTACAGTAATTAAATGGTAAGTGGTAATACGAATTTTTTTTGTTCCCAGCAAGCCTAATCATATATAGTCCACAATTTTAATTTATCAGGATACCTGGTTTTGATATTGTAATTATTAATTTAATGTCACATCTATCTTTTTGTGTGTGGTGATGAAGTGGGCATTGAGGGACTTACAGTTCGGCGACCTACTGTGACTTAAGTTCTACTTATCTCACCCAAATTACTTGCCTGTAATAATTCAGGTAACACCCTGCAAATCTCATGTAGGTAATTTACTCGCATAATAATAATCCTCAAAAACTTCCATGAACTACCCTGAATTACTAACCTTCCGGATTAATAATCCGAATATAATCTCAACACTCTTGGGGATGATCCGAATCAAATCTTTCCAACACCCTGGATTCACTATTCCTAAGTCTACCGCAGAAATCAAAGTACTGTATAATCTTGTCATTCGAAAGTATTCCTCATATAAAGCGCACGGAAACTTCATGATGTTGAGTGAAGCTACCGTCGGTTTGCTAGTTGTAAAAACGACTTAGGTCATGTTAATTCGTAATAACAGTTTGTTCTCCGAGTACATCTTGCCATTATTAAGCCCAGACACCGAACTAAAAGTTATCTGCTGTTACAAGTTGTAGAGTTCACACGAAAACATCGTCATTACTTTTTCCTCCCGATATGTCATTATTTCACTGACTAGTATTATCATTAAAACAGTTGCCTCGACATCACTCATCTGTTTTCCACCTAACCTCGTCACACAGAATTAACAGTGACACAAAAATACCCTAGTCAGAGGCTACCCTCGTTACACAGGCGTACTGTCGTTACATAGGCCTACCTTCGTCACATAGGCTACCTTCGTCACACAGGCGTACCATCGTCAGGCACAAGCTTTCCCTTATCATACATAAATAATCTAATCACACAAAGCTATACCATCACACAAGTCAAACCTCGTCTTGGAATAAACTATATATTAATTCTACAATCATTAATCCAAAATGTTAATAAAACAGTTATTCATATAATTTTTATTGTGTGAAAAAATATCAACTATCATTATTTTTATATACAATAGAATCAAGCAACCAATTCCAATTCCTTGCCATCAACTTGACATGGTAGTGATTCATACCCACGTATAGAAATAAACAACTCCTACACCAACTCTGCTAAAACATTTTACAGTAGCCTAACACCATGTGGAATTCACAAAATGTTGCACGTACCTGTAATTACCTTATTTTCGTACATTACATATATAGTAATAAAAATTCAATTTCATTTTTTAAGAACACTGGATTGTTATATAAGGCTACAAATGTTAGTATTTTAGATATTAATATAATTTAATATTATTACTATTGTTTTTTCTTGTTTGCTTAATAAAAGTTCATCTGTACTTTTCTGGTTATGGGGAAAAAAATGAAAAAAAAAGCTGATTGCTAAGAGATGAGGTCGATATTCATGGGAAATATTCGACATGCCAATCTCCTCAATATGTAGGAAATGGTAATGCAGTAATTCCTCTTCTTGACCAAGAGAGGCTCCCAAAGGGGGAACAAGGCATCAAGAGCATAAACAGTAATACTATGTTAAATACTCACATTTATTAACATTGTTAGTCACCATTAAGTGTAACACTGTCCTTCATTTGGAAATAAAAATATCCACCTCACTTTTAAACAGTATATATAAAATATGTGGAGATAATCACAATAACAGAAATGCTTTGTAAAATAAAATCTGGCCTTACCTATATTGTATAACAAAAACCGATGGGACATAGAGGCGAAGAGACCACTTTCATAGCACAGTGGATGTATGTGAACAGTTCAGTCGGGTTAAGGTCAGTAGCTGGATGGGTGGCCAAATTTTACCACCCATCACTCTTACTTAGAAAAACTTGGACAAGTCATAACTTTTTCCTGAACAAGGTACAATATTATTATTATTATTGCTATTATTTTATTATTTATTACTATATTATTATTATTTACCAAAAAACCTAGACCCGTAACTAAAGTGTTGCACTGTATACCCCAAAAGAATATATACCGAAAATATAATACAAATCTGTTCAGTTTTAGCATACAAATAATTGTTAAGTTGCGTGTCTACCCAGAAATAATTTTACGGAAGGATGAGGTGAATCATAAAATTGATGAGGGGAAAAGGGTGAGTGGTGCACTTAGGAGTCTGTGGAGACAAAGAACTTTGTCCTTGGAGGCAAAGAGGGGACTGTATGAGAGTATAGTTTTACCCACGCTTTTGTATGGGTGTGAGGCATGGGTGATGAATGTTGCAATGAGGAGAAGGCTGGAGGCAGTGGAGATGTCATGTCTGAGGGCAATGTGTGGTGTGAACATAATGCAGAGAATTCGTAGTTTGGAAATTAGAAGGTGTGGGATTATCAAAACTATTATCCAGAGGGCTGAGGAGGGGCTGTTGAGGTGGTTCGGACAGGTAGAGAGAATGGAACAAAACAGAATGACTTGAGTGTATAAATCTGTAGTGGAGGGAAGGCGGGGTAGGGGTCGGCCTAGAAAGCGGTGGATGGAAGGGGTAAAGGTTTTGTGAATGGAGTGAATGGAGACAAATGGTGTTTAATACTTGACGTGCTGTTGGAGTGTGATCAAAGTAACATTTATGAATGGATTCAGGGAAACCGGCAGGCCGGACCTGAGTCCTGGAGATGGGAAGTACAGTGTCTGCACTCTAAAGGAGGAGTGTTAATGTTGCAGTTTTATAAATGTAGTGTAAAGCACCCCCCTGGCAAGACAGTGATGGAGTGAATGATGAAAGTTTTTCTTTTTCGGGCCACACTATCTTTGGGTGGGAATCGGCCAATGTGTTAAAAAAAAATAATAAAGAAATATAAATAGTGAATCTCACTGAAATATCTAATGGGGTTATAATACTGAGAGAAGGTATTGGCAGCATTTTTGTTCAGTGACTGAAAGTCTTGTTGACTGGAATGAAATATGTGTTGTGCAAGATTTTAATGAAGCGTGGATTATTATTATTACTTTTATTATATTAAAACCGCATGGGTCACAGCGCTAGATGCATGATGTGAAAGAACCAGTAGAGAAGAGGGGGAAGGTCTGGGAAGGAATTAGACTGAAAGAAGAGAAGGAAAAGGGCATTAGGGATCACAGTAGAAAACCGTGTGGAGTAAGTCAGGAGGAAACAATACCTCTGACTTGACTGCACAGACATACACTGGACGAACAAATTATGTGCTGCATTTGTTGTACATCCTTGAATATGTCACTCTTCCAAATGCGCAGCTAGCAATATTTGTAAATAAAAAAAAACTGCATTTCGCAACGAATGTTGCTAAATGCCTAGAGGAGCAAGATACAAGGAAAACTTTCTTAGCTCGTAAGCATTAACTTAAAGCTGTTGAAAGTTTGCAGCATATTTATCTTAGTAATTGTATTGAACTTGCAATACTTTGGGAAATAAAAATCAAGTGACGAAGGTCTTAGTCACATAATGAAAATCTCTGTGGAGATACTGACCAAATCGAGGCCTTTTACTGATTTATCAGTTCACCCAATAGAAAATCAACATATTGCATTATATGATTTGCTGAGAAAATATAACTCATACCATTTTATGCTTGTTAGTATAATGGTATAATGCCGATGGACAAAACAAACAGTATGGTACATGAGAAAATATAATTATGCCAAATTATTTTTGCGACTGAATTCCTCATGTAAGCAACACCCTTAATTAATATTAATTGAATGCTTTGTTTTATGTAAATGAGTTATTACAATCGTAATTTACTTAACTAACAGAATGTTGGGTTACAGTTCAGGCACCGTTGCTCTGTAGTGTTTTGAGTTCCCTCCACAGGATAATTATCGTGAATAATAAAATTATTTTAAATAAAGTCTTGACTGTGATGACTTATAATAAAGAATACAGTCAACAATAACATACAATTATAGAACTTTAATAAAGTTGGTCACAAGTAATAAACCTTATATTTCTGGTTACTTTACTGTAAAGTAACATATGTAATGGATTAGTTTCCATTGTAACAATCCACTGCCATCTTTATTACTAAAAGGCTATACACTAAAAAATGTATGTAATTTATAAATAAATATAAGCCATTTTGAATCCTGTATGGAAACGCTTCATTTTTACTTATATTTATTACTCAATTTTATGCAAGCTGAACATTAATTTGAGTTAGTATTTAATGTGTTCAAAAATGGCTGAGTATAGACATCCATGACAAACATAATTATTTATTTACTACCACCTCATCCTATTATCACTAAACGTTATGTATTAAGACAAATCAAGTTTAGTGTAAACAAGATACAAGTTCCAGTATTGATTTAAGATTCAATTCCAGTATTGAATCTTAAAGATTCAATTCAGTATTGATCTTAAGATTCAATTCCAGTATTGAATCTTAAAGCTCAATTCTAGTATGATCTAAAGATCGAATTCCAGTATGAATTTTGAAGATTTCAATTCAGTATAATCTTAAGTTCAATTCAATACTGAATCTTAAGATCATTCCAATACTAAAATCTTAAAGATTATTCAGTACTGATATCTAAAGATTCAACCACTACTAATCTTAAGATTCATTCCATATGAACTTAAGATTCTTCCAGTATTGATCTTAAAATTCAATTCAGTGTAATCTAAGATTCAATTCCAGTATTGAATCTCAAAGATTCAATTCCAGTATTGAATCTTAAAGATTCAATTCCAGTATTGAATCTTAAAGATTCAATTCCAGTACTGAATCTTAAAGATTCAATTCCAGTACTGAATCTTAAAGATTCAATTCCAATACTGAATCTTAAAGATTCAATTCCACTACTAAATCTTAAAGATTCAATTCCAGTACTGAATCTTAAAGATTCAATTCCAGTATTGAATCTTAAAGATTACAATTCCAGTATTGAATCTTAAAGATTCAATTCCAGTACTGAATCTTAAAGATTCAATTCCAGTACTGAATCTTAAAGATTCAATTCCAGTACTGAATCTTAAAGATTCAATTCCAATATCGAATCTTAAAGATTCAATTCCATATAAAATCTTAAAGATTCAATTCCAGTACTGAATCTTAAAGATTCAATTCCACTACTAAATCTTAAAGATTCAATTCCAGTATTGAATCTTAAAGATTCAATTCCAGTATTGAATCTTAAAGATTCAATACACTGGGAAATTAATAAATGGGCTCTAAAACAAGGACCAATTGTATTGATGTGCTTCTTTAGTCAGGTAAAATCTTTCAGGTACACTTAACTTCACCTGCGAAAGAGATTTTTTGAGGATTTATAATTATAGTACCCAGACCTGTACAAAAATAAAATTAATATTTTTTTCGGGTAAAAAAAAAAAAAAACCACACTCACTCGGTAGTTAAAATAAATTAAAATTTGCATTATATGATTGATATTATCTGAATGAAATACTTTCATCATAATATTTATAAATATACTGAAGTAATATTGCTTTTAAGTAATATTTGACCAATGATGCTTGTCCTTAAATAATACATTATTACGCATTTTCTTATTAATTTTTGCGTTTTGTGTTTTATTGCACCGTAATAACTCATCAAATTAATAGCCACGTAAGCATAAATTCTAAAAAATTTAATTACGTTATAAAGAACAGCTTCATCAGTAATTCTATTATTATTATATTAAAAAAAACGAAAGTTAAATCAGTATGGGTTATGTATCGAAAATATCCTCTACTAGCATATCAATTATTTTTCCTCCCCACAATCACTAGGTCTCCCACCCTCTCATCACAGCCAATATATCCTTACCAATACCAATTAACTACACTTAAATGACCCCACCAGAACTATACAGTACTACACTGACCCAAACTATACTGTGAGTGACAACTTGGTCCAGAGAAAACCTTCATTACTGTGAGTGTTTAGCTACCCAGAGCAAAACATCTACAACATTTTGCTGTGTACTAAGTGTCTCTCTGTCACTTGTGTAGGCAATACCTGCCATCATATATAAACTTAAAAAGCTCCCAAATATTTACATTTTTCTGGCATTACTGTAATGAGAATTAATAGGCCCAACAATTATATTTCCTGGCCTGAACATAATTCTAATTTCTTGGCCCCAACATAATTACATTTCCTGGTCCCAACATAATTACACTTCCTGGTCCTAGCACCATTATGTCTGGTCCCAACATAATTATATTTCCTGACCAGCGCAACTATTTCACTAGGTTTAGCATGAACATAATTATAAACACAAGGACCCAAAATAATCATATTTCACCAATTCCCAGAAACAGGCTTACTGGGCTCCTCATAATTATATTTTAAGGACCCAAAATTAACTTCCGTTGCCATAAACATAATTATACATATTATCTATAGGCTTTTCAAAAACTTTAACACTTCAGTACGCTTTCTTTGCAAATCAATTATTATTATTAATTATTATTATTATTCTTGACCCGAAGTTTAATTTTTTAACCTCACAAATTAATTAATATTTATGGTACATTTACGGGGAAAACCAAATTTATTATAACTTTTATTAAAAAAAAAAAACACATTATTGAAGCAATTGCCCAATACAATTTAGTCCAATGTTAGATTTAGAAGCGTACTGCCAGAGTAATGAATAGGAGACACGGGTACAAAACACGCTTTATTTGTGGCAACGTATCGCTTTATGCAAAAAGCTTTACACAGAGCGAAGCGTTGTCACACTAAACTCTTGTTCTATACCTGTGTCCTTGTTCATGTAATGTTATTTACATCATAAAGTTTCATTGACTCACATTATTATTATTATTATTTTATACTAGTGTTTGCTAATACACAGTTAATATCGTCACAAGGTGCATCAAACACTCGTAAGACAGAGCAAGGATAACTTTAATCCCGTTGCTTGGCTTTGTCAAGCCTGCAGTGACTTTGTCAAGCCTACATACATGTAGTGTGACTACCAAGTTTGCAGTGTGACTCTTGACTGTCAAGCCTGCAGTGTGACTCTTGGCTGCCAAGCCTGCAGTGTGACTGTCAAGCCTGCAGTGTGACTCTTGGCTCTGTCAAGCCTGCAGTGTGACTGTCAAGCCTGCAGTGTAACTGTCAAGCCTGCAGTGTGACTGTCAAGCCTGTAGTGTGACTGTCCAACCTGTAGTGTGACTGTCAAGCCTGCAGTGTGACTGTCAAGCCTGCAGTGTAACTGTCAAGCCTGCAGTGTAACTGTCAAGCCTGCAGTGTGACTGTCAAGCCTGCAGTGACTGTCAAGCCTGCAGTGTAACTGTCAAGCCTGCAGTGTGACTGTCAAGCCTGCAGTGTGACTGTCAAGCCTGCAGTGTGACTTGTCAATTCTGCATTGCGACTGTCAAGCCACAAGTTACTCTTTGTCAAGTCTGCAGAGTGACTGTTAAGTACTGTACTTGACAAAGCCACACACACACACTATGTCAATGATTCACTATAATGTTTCCTGTAACCCTGTAGAATGTCGTATAGACAATCCTAGCCACATACCGTGGCCTCACCAATTTGCAAGATAATTTTTTGGGGTCATCTGGGACACTTTGCGATGCCACCACAACAAGGGGCACTATACTTAAAACTATTTTGGCACCTACTTCAAGGTTCATAAATGCAGTTAAAATGTGCGGATAAAATTGCGAAATTTGATGAAGTTATTATGCGGTAATCATCCAATGTGTATGTACGTATGTATGTATTCATGATTGTTCGCAAATTTTGGAAAGGACTTCAGGAATCAGGAATCACAACAAGTCATTTCAGGATGTTTATATGACATATGTCAAGCCCATCTTGGAGTATGCGTCACCAGTATGGAACCCACACCTGAAAAATCCATGTTAAGAGACTGGATAAAGTACAGAAACATGCAGTGAGGTTTGTTCAAGAGCACAGGCGTACGAGCTATGATAGGAGGCTAACTGAATTGAATCTAAAGACACTGGAGGACAAAGGAACCAGGAAGATAACAGTATACGAAATTCTCTGGGAAATTGGAGTCAAGAAACAAATACTCGAGGACAGCTGGACGTTAAAGGCAAAGACGAACCACAGGGATGTCAGAAAAATTTTCTTCACTCTCAGAATGGTCGGGAAGTGGAATGATCTCGATGAAGAAGGGCTGGAGGCATGATCCATACACAGTTTTAAGATCAGGTACGAAAGGGCCCCTGAGGCTAGGATGGGCAAGTTTAGAGGCGAGGTCAGGAACTAGGACTCGAACCCTGCAACCACCATATACAGATAAACATATATAGAGGCGGGGCCAGGAGCTGTGACTCGACCCTGCAACCACAAATAGGTAAGAAGTTAAGAACACACACACACGAGACTAAGAAGGAGTGAACTGAAGGGTTGCAAGAGGCAGACAGGTCCAAGATCTGAGAACCGATCCTTGCAACCACAAATACGTGAGTACACACACATACACATACACAACTGGATGCTGACATTAGCCTTCGTATTGTTAATTTTTTCCCCTGATAAAAACAAGGTTACGAAGACGAACCTACATCACTACCAAAGCTACACACGAATGTAAATAAAGAAATAAACTGCTGGGATATGTTCTCGCTCATCACACTGAACATCAATGACGAAATCTATGACCTAAACAAAAACAAAAAATCGTGATTCACTATTCTAACAATTCTAACTAATTACTAATGAAAGTTAGGGCCTAAGAGAAAAAAAAAGTCGTGATTCTCTACACTAGCTAACTTCTATTGAAAAGTAGTGAGAACACCTAAAAAATTATTTACAAATGAAAGGGAGAGTTCATCAGTGGGGTACGAGATTCAAGCACTGATGGAGTTGATGTATTACTGACTGACATCAATGGCACGAGATTCAAGCACTGACAGAATTGATGTATAATTAACTGACATCAATGGTACGAAATTCAAGCACTGATGGAATTGATGTATAATTAAATGACATCAATATGTGCTGACTTAATAGTTATGGCATCAACATTACGCTGCTTCCCCCTGAGAGAACAGTCTTGCATAGTAACCACTGAGGTACTTGTCACTGTTATGAGACACCATGGGCTGTTATGATGACACTGTATGCTGTTATGATGACACTGTATGCTGTTGTGATGACAATGTATGCTGTTATGACACTATGCTGTTATGATGACAATGCTGTTATGAAGACACTATGCTGTTGTGTTGACACCATGCCGTTATGACGATACTGTATGCTGTTATGATGACAATGTATGCTGTTATGATAATACTTCATGCTGTTATAATTATATGCTGTTATGCAGACACTGTAGGCAACATGTGATGACACTGTATGCTGTTATGAGACACCTTGTGCTAATAAGAATGTATGCTGTTATAATGACACTGTAAGCAACATGTGATGATACTGTATGCTGTTATGACACTGTGTTCTGTTCTAACTATGCTGTTGTGATGACACGGTATGCTGTTATCATGACATGGCAGGCTGTTATGATGAAACGGTATGCTGTTATGACACTATGCTGTTATGGTGACACCATGTGCTGTTATGGTGACATCATTTGCTGTTATGGTGACACCATGTGATGTTATGACTTGGTATGGTGTTATTACACAGTATGCGATGACACATGGTTATCATGAAATATGCTGTTATGACGACACAGTATGTTATGATGACAGTATTCTGTTATGACGAAACAGTATGTTATTATGATGACACAGTATGCTGTTATGACACATGCTATTATAACAGTATGCTCTTATAACACATAGAATGTTGGTATGATCACATACTATTATGACGACGTAGTATGATGTTATGGCACATGGAATGCTGTTACGACACAGGATGCTGTTATACTGTTATAACATGCTGTTATGCCACAATATGTTGTTATATGTTGTAATGATGACACGTTATGATGACAGCATGCTGGTATGACGCATCCTGTTATGATGATACATGCTGTTATGACACAACATACTGTTATGATGACAACATGCTGCTATGACACGTGCTGTTATGATACATATGATGACATGCTGTTATGATGACATATGCTGTGCTGATGACCCATGATGTTATGACGACACATCATGCCGTTATGAAGAAACAGTATGTTATGAAAATGTGCTATGAAGACAGCATGCTGTTATGAACAGTATGCTGTTATGAAGGCATTATACTGTTACAAAGGCAATATGTTATGAAGGCATTATGCTGTTATGAAGATAGTATGCCGTTATGAAGAAACGGTATGCTGTTATGAAGGCAGCATACCGTTACTGTGATGCGTCAACACAACTCGACATGATCTACGGAGCTTAATTAAAGCCCAACACTGATATGCATCATTAACAGGAATATTTAAGGTGCTCATTTTTACTTCACTTCAAGTTACCAGACTATAAACATGCTTCACTTGAGATTTACCAAGACCAGAAACATGCTTCACTTCTGGTTACCAAGACTAAAATACTGACAAGTTACCATCACTCTTCCTGACTTATTCCATATACTACCCTCGAGTCTACCAGGTAGTTTCTTCTCTGTCTCAGTATAACTATGATGCTACTGAAGCACCTCCCACTTGGGACGACGTGTTGATATTCCTTGGAATTCAGCTTGAAGGATCGAGTATTGTTGTGCACATTCTATGTGTTATATATCTCTCGTAGTTGACTATACATGTGCTGAGAGTAGTGTGGTGCACTTTTCACAGCGCGCCGGTGAAATTCTTATCTGGCTCATTCAATTACTAGTCTTAGATCACATTCTCTGGGGTAATAGCCTCAAACTGTACGTCCCTATCTGAGCTGGATTTGGGCCCTCGGCACATGCTCCAGAAAATGTTAAGAATAGGTAAGCCCAGTGACTGCAAGAGTCAAGAAGTTAGAGACAGACCAGGTGATCTGATTTGCAGTTTGCCCTGCCTTTGAGAGATTTGCTATTTGTGGCCAAAATAGTTGTAAAGTTATGCTACTTCTGGTCTTGGAAAGCTGTGGTGGTGAGCAGAGGGTTGGCTGCGTCACTGGTGTCAGACGTGGGTGTGGATATCATGGTAGAGATGACTATATCTCCGCCGTGGCGTCCACCGCAGTTGACGGTTTCCAGTCCCACCTCGGTCTCGCCATCTGGTAAAAGTGTTTCCATCAATTATTAAAAATTTAGTATGCCAAAAATGTGTCACATCAGATCAAAGGTATTTTTAAGGAGAGCTGATGCAGAAGCACTTCTCTTTATGCAAGACTGAATTGTGTACAAGTTAAAAAGAAAAAATCGCTGGCAATAAAGTGTACAGTGTTGAACTTACAAAAACAAACCTTATTCAATCTTCAGGGTTCACTTAGATTATTCATTACTCACTATACAATGAACAATTGAATAATTAAACTACAGAGCCCCCATTCACCACCTACTGAAAACGAAGAATGCAAAATTACTTGATAAAGTGCTGTACCTAAAATTTTAATGTCTGTGCTGTTTCATTTACGGTCCTGCGTGTATCTTCCACTTGCAGTGTATCACTGAACATAAATATATATATATATATATATATATATATATATATATATATATATATATATATATATATATATATATATATATATATATATATATATATATATATATATTTAATTTGCACTGATTGCAGTACTTGCTGCCTCCTCTTGGATCCCACTGCAATATTCTATCACTGAAGAATTTTTTTTCCATGCATTCTTCCCATTAATCAACAAGTGTATCAACAATGGCTTTTTTATTATTTTCAGTCACTTTTCATAGCTCATTTTTTAGTTATGGGAGCTGTTGTGTGGAGCGTTCAGCTCAACTAAAAGGACCCCGGTTTGATTCCCGGGTGGGACATGATGTATAGGCTGCCCATGTTTCTATAACAGTGGATTAATCCAACTGTTGTAGTTGAGACTAACTACTGTATTTACCCATTTGGTGTGTAGAATTAGCTAAGTGCAGCAACTGGCTGTGTGGATAATTCCTACAATAAATAATGGTAGACTATATATAATGGTGTTGCGTGAATAATTCCTAAAATAATAAAAATGGTAAAGTATAATTCCTACAAAAAATAATGGTAGAGTATACTGGTGTTGTATGAATAATTCCTACAATAGATAATGGTGTTATGTGAATAATTCCTACAAATAATAATGACGGAGTATAATGGTACTGTCTCCACACCTGGTCTGGGCTTCACCTATGATCCCATACCTGCCAGAGCCTCAGGCAAAGCATCAAAGCTGGAGCACACAACGATGCCCTCGTGAAGTGCACCAACGATCTGCAGAACACGAGGCTTCATCCCCACGAACACCAGAGTCTGCCCACGCAGCTGGAAGTCGTCCACCATCCCCTTTATTCCCTGATGGTGAAGGAGCCAGTAAAAAATATTTTAAAAAATTGTGTCTGTGTTATTCTTTGTCACTGAAACATAATTATATATTAAATACTGATTAATTATAAAGAGTATCACATTGGGATTCCGTATTACATTAATATTTACTATTACCAATGGTGTTAAAATGAAGAAAATATCATACGTTTCCAGTGGCTTAGTATTATTAAAGTTTTCTTCTTAAACAACATGCTCAAGCAATGAAATTTTCAATAAAATATTGTTTGAAGTACTGCATCATTCTGTAATTTGACAATGACCTGAATAATATCTAATAATGATCCATAACATAAAACTAACAGCCGTTGCAAGATGACATATAATGAACATTTTTGACTAGTACAGAATTTTAAGTGAAAATCAAGATGTTAGAGATACCTTAGCCGATGTAAAGTCAGCAGTATCAATAAAGGAACAATCAATGACTATAGGCAGAGAGCCACCAGCCTGCCGGAGACCAGCCTTTCTGATGGCACTACGGATGTGAGAGATGCTGGGGTAGCTCAGGCCATGAGAAGGAGTAACCAGAACATATCCTCCATGATGCTTCTGAGAGAAACATATGCGTCATGTGGTAGGTGCTGCAGCAGCGAAGGAAATTATTAATGTAATGTTTATGAGAGAGAGAGAGAGAGAGAGGGATGTAAGAGTGTTTATGTAGTTGAAGCTGTTAAAAGTTTAGTAAAATAACAGTAACAAATCCTCCATGCTGTTTCTAAAGAAAGGTAAACATGAAAATGTGGAAGTAAATGTAAGATTATTTTACAACTACAGCAAGTGAGATTATTTTACAACTACAACAAGTGAATTATTTTACAACTACAGCAAGTGAGATTATTTTACAACAACAGCAAGTGAGATTATTTTACAACTACAACAAGTGAATTATTTTACAACTACAGCAAGTGAGATTATTTTACAACTACAGCAAGTGAGATTATTTTACAACTACAGCAAGTGAGATTATTTTACAACTACAGCAAGTGAGATTATTTTACAACAACAGCAAGTGAGATTATTTTACAACAACAGCAAGTGAGATTATTTTACAATTACAACAAGTGAGATTATTTTACAACAACAGCAAGTGAGATTATTTTACAACAACAGCAAGTGAGATTATTTTACAACTACAGCAAGTGAGATTATTTTACAACTACAGCAAATGAGATTATTTTACAACTATAGCAAGTGAGATTATTTTACAACTACAGCAAATGAGATTATTTTACAACTACAACAAGTGACTCAAGAACAAAATAACAACGACCCTTACATCAGTTGACCATAATTCAGGAACTACAGCTACATATTTAATAGTTGATATACGGTACTTCAAAAATAATAATAAAAAACTTTTAAAGTTCGTTAAAATCCATGTGAACCTTTAATTCTAAAAAAAATATATAACAATATTATTTTTGCAGAAGAAAGAGTAAGAAACATGTTTATTGCAGAGTTCGACATACACTATTATAGTGGAACTTCCGTGTTTGAACTTAATTGGTTCCTAGGTGGTCTTCGAACTGCGAAAAGTTCGATGTCCGAAACAGTATTTCCCAGGCTTTAATTATCAGCCTCACACACTGGAGGATGTTGAACTGACTCTTCCAAAAGGCTCTGCGAGTTAGGTCAATGTCAGAGATCACTTCAAAGCACTTTTGAAACAAGGCTTTCATGCAGTCTTTTTACATCTGTATTTTAAACAAGACGGTGAGTTCAGACTCCTGAGCAACGTTCAAAGACCGAGTCAATTCTTTCTGAACAAAATTGTTCGGACTTCGGTTCGTTCGAACACCGAGGTTCCACCTATTATAATTAAGAGAAGAGTGCCTGTGGTCAGTGCAAGGAAGAGCACCTCCATTTTAACCATTAAAGAATTATAAACATGTTTAACCATAACCATATTCATATCTATTTTAACCATCACGGAATTATAAATATGTTAAGCTGCTGAATAATTTGTGCATATGTGTTAAGCCATTTTAAAAATGAAAGGAAACGCATCTGCACAATGCCACTAAGTAATGTAAATTAAATAAGCATATATGTTATGTATTGTTATCATATAGTACAGATAGTACTCTTCAAGCCGTGATGGCCTGTGTTTCCTTGTTTTAACAATGGCTCAGAATTTTAATATATGAAATGTACTTTTTTTTTTGAACACTACTACTATAAAGAAAAATCGTAAATCAATAGAATTTCTGAGACAATAATATTATGTTTACTTATTTTCCCCACACCCTCCCATCCCCCAAAATAAATTTTTCACTTTTTATGCAAAGCAATAGTCTATTATCCATTAAACTATCTTTAAACAGCCTGAGGAACTCAATAATTATTTTTAGATATCCTGAAAATGACTAATCCAAGAAGTGAACTTACATTGGGTGTAACAATGGCCACTTTGATAGTAGGTGTAGCAATGGAGTAGAGGAGCATTGAGAGATTGATACCGATGCCCAGGAGAATCCCCCACTCGAGTCCCCACAAGAGGCAGGCCAAGAAGGTGACCATAAGAGGTACCAGGTCGATCTTCTTACTTCTCCAGAGCGGAGCCAAGATCTCATAATCAATGAGATTAATCACTGCACATATGATCACTGCCGCCAGCGTAGCTTTGGGAATGTAACTGTGAAGACGGAATTACGTTATGAATCAGTAATCTCATACCCTACTACACTCTGCAACACAATAATGTGCCATTATATATATATATATATATATATAATATATATATATATATATATATATATATATATATATATATATATAAAATATATATAATATATATATATATATATATATATATATATATATATATATAATACAAATATATAATAATATATATATATATATATATATATATATATATATATAATATAATATATATATATATAATATATATATATATACATATATATATATATACATATATATATACATTTTTTTTTCAACAAGTTGGCCGTCTCCCACCGAGGCAGGGTGACCCAAAAAAGAAAGAAAATCCCCAAAAAGAAAATGCTTTCATCATCATTCAACACTTTCACCACACTCACACATAATCACTGTTTTTGCAGAGGTGCTCAGAATACAACAGTTTAGAAGCATATACGTATAAAGATACACAACATATCCCTCCAAACTGCCAATATCCCAAACCCCTCCTTTAAAGTGCAGGCATTGTACTTCCCATTTCCAGGACTCAAGTCAAGAAAATAACCGGTTTCCCTGAATCCCTTCACTAAATATTACCCTGCTCACACTCCAACAGATCGTCAGGTCCCAAGTACCATTCGTCTCCATTCACTCCTATCTAACACGCTCACGAACGCTTGCTGGAAGTCCAAGCCCCTTGCCCACAAAACCTCCTTTACCCCCTCTCTCCAACCCTTTCGAGGACGACCCCTACCTCGCCTTCCTTCCCCTATAGATTTATATGCTTTCCATGTCATTCTACTTTGATCCATTCTCTCTAAATGACCAAACCACCTCAACAACCCCTCTTCTGCCCTCTGACTAATGCTTTTATTAACTCCACACCTTTTCCTAATTTCCACACTCCGAATTTTCTACATAATATTTACACCACACATTGCCCTTAGACAGGACATCTCCACTGCCTCCAACCGTCTCCTCGCTGCTGCATTTACCACATAATACATATTATTATATATATATACTATATATATATATATATATATATATATATATATATTATATATATTTATATATATATATATATATATAATATATATATATATATATAATATAAAATATATATATATTTATATATATTGATATAAATATATATGAGTAATATTTACATATATCAACAAGTCGGCCGTCTCCCACCGAGCAGGGTGACCAAAGAAAATACTTCATCTCATTCAAACTTCACCTCACTCAACATAATCACTGTTTTTGCAGGTGTCAACACAAAGCTTAGCATATCGTATAGAACACAATCCCTCCAAACTGCAATATCCAAACCCTCCTTAAGTAGGTTGTACTTCATTTCCAGTACCAATCGACTATAAAAAAAAACCGGTTTTCCTGAATCCCTTCACTAATATTACCCTGCTGACACTCCAACAGCTCGTCAGGTCCCATATATATATATATATATATATATATATATATATATATATATATATATATATATATATATATATATATATAATATATATATATATATATATGTCGTGCCGAATATGTAAAACTGGTCAATTAGCAAGAACTCATTTAAAATTAAGTCTTTTCTAAAATTTTCTCTTATACGTTTAAAGATATATTTTTTCATTAATGTTGATGTAAAAATTTATAATTTTGCACCAAAAGGAACTTAGAAAACTTACCTAACCTTATTATAACAAAAACAATTTGTTTTAGCCTAACCCAACTAAATATATTTTAGATTTATTTACAATAATTTAATACTAAACAAACACAGTGAAATATATTTTTTTTCGTTAGGTTCAGAATGATTTTGGCGAAATTATTGCATACACAAATTTTCACTTGCCCTATATGGCAAGATGAGCGTTGCTATTTAAGCCAAGATAGCAAGTTCTGCCTATTCGGCACGACATATATATATATACATGTATATATATATATATATATATATATATATATATATATATATATATATATATATATATATATATATATATACTATATATATATATATATATATATATATATATATATATATATATATATATATATACATATATATACATATATATACTATATATATATATATATATATATATATATATATATATATATATATATATATATATATATATATATATATATAATATATATATATATATATATATATATATATATATATATATATATATGTCGGCCGTTTCCCACCGAGGCAGGGTGACCCAAAAAAGAAAGAAAAAACTTTCATCATCATTCATACATAATCACTGTCTTTGCAGAGGTGCTCAGATACGACAATAGATGTCACTCCAAACAGCTAATATCCCAACCCCATCCTTTAAAATGCAGGCATCGTACTTCCCGCCTCCAGGACTCAAGTCCGGCTAACTGGTTTCCCTGAATCCCTTCACAAAATATTACCCTGCTCACACTCCGTCAGCTCGTCAGGTCCCAAAAACATTCGTCTCCATTCACTACTAATACGTTCACACACGCTTGCTGGAAGTCCAAGCCTGTCGTGTGTGTGTGTTTGGTTGTTAACTCACGTGAAGCACGGCGTGAGGAAGGTGAGTGCGAGGAGAACCATGATTCCTGTGACCAAACCACCAGCAGGAGTACGCACTCCACTCGTCAGGTTAACTGCTGAAGATGCCAAAACTCCCGTCGTTGGCATAGACCTGTCGGTGTTAGAGCGTTAAATCTGCAGAATCTTGAGAAATCTGTTATAAAATGGTCCACTGCGGTTTTTTTTATCAGGTTATTATGAGATATCTTATTTTGTGATAGGTTTTAATGGCTGGTAACTTTCAATGGTAGTGGTTCAAGTGGTAACGCTTTTGCCTTGTATCTGAAGGACGTGGGTTCGATCCCGGCACAAGAGGAAACATTGCCTCTGTTCGCCTAACTTGTGTGTTAGTCGACTGTTGTGGGTGGCATCCTGGGGAAAAGAATCAAAGTACTCCAATGAGAATTAATTATAGTTTCTAAATAAGTTTACCCTGGTTGACTAACTCCGTGTCAATTATCTGAATAAAATCTACATACACTGTAGTTGCATTTCGCTTTCTCATGGTCTGTTGTGAAATATGTTTACCCCCAATCAAATGTTAATGTTTGCAAGTGATATACTATTTACTGTACAATAACCTTTCCCGCTTGCCCTTGCAAGTTGCTCGTGTTGCATGTCAAAATTGTAATAACAGTCACCCCTACACTGTCCGTGCCTGAAGTGTGTCGTCATGACCCCCCCCCCCCCGCTCACAATATAACATGGAGCACCTATAACAAACTGAGTAATGAATGCACCCAGATAGGTAAAGAACTTTCCCTCTGGATAGGGATTCAAAGGGAAAGCGCCTTTGGATTTCTATTGATAACTGCCCTTATGGATAGGCATCCGAAGGCGCTGTATGTTCATATAATGCCTATGGAATCCAAGAGGTTAAGATGATTGAGAATCAACAGGCGGGGCCAAGAAGAGGAGCCCAGCCCAGGCTTACAGGAAACACTAAACATTTATCTACATCTTACTGAACAGCACTCAAGTTTTCCATCGTCCTTTTATCTTATTTATCTACAGTATTATATTCGTGAAGAAAACCTTAACCCATAAGTCACACAACTCTCCGGGAATGGTAGTTATTCAAATCTGAGCCAAGGGAGAGGTAGCAGTAGTTCCCTGGACCAAGAGCCCTTCATCAGCATCATGACACACGCTCCCACTCTTAAATTTACATGTTACCTAGAAATATAATTTAAAAACTTACCCAAAAAATGAGCCAATAATATTGGAGACTCCCAGAGTAATAATCTCCTGGGTGGTGTCGTAAGTTCTTCCTTTAGCAAAGGCACTGACAATAGCAATATGGTGAAGAATGGCAATGAATGGCACCATCGCTATACCAATGCCAATGTCACTCATGATCTCTGGAAACGTTATGGTCTGGTTGTTGATCTCGGCGGAGAACGGCGGAAGAGATGCATATGGTATCCCAGGCTCCACGTAGCCTAACAAGACAAAATTTTTTTTTTTTTAATATTTACAAACTTTAAAAGAGCATCTTTCTGTTCTATTTATAGTCATAAAAATATTCAACACACTTAGGTAGTACACCAAAATAAGAAATAAAACCAGGAGATGTATACCTGAGGATTTGGGTACTGCAGTGTCCAAGTATTAATTACCAATATCGTAAGTTGTAATTTTTATTGCCTTTATTCTTGAGTGTAAGACTGTAAGTCATCAGTTTCAGTAAAACAAAGAAATTGACTAGTCACACTAACACACGAAGGTGAGGGAACCAGTATATACAGAAGAGGCTCCCTCACCTTCGTGTATTAGTATGACTAGTCAATGGTTAAAGTCTTTCTCCTATGTGCGGTTTATTTGTGTAAAGAAATTTATCAAGGTGAGTCTTTCTTGGGCAACTTTTCGAAAACTAAGGTGTAAGTTATACGTCAAGTGCTAGACAGAAACAACACGAACATATATGTATACGTCCTCACAACGAGTAAGAAAGAATAAGTGTGGGAAGGTGTGATGGATATTACTGCTTCCTCACAATACTGCACCTGAGTTTACCTAGGTATAGGAAGGCACCTCTATTGAGAAAGTGAATGCTGGTGGTGGTGCCACCTCTGTTGAGAGGGTGATTGCTGCTGGTGGTACCACCTCTGCTGAGAGAGTGAATGCTGCTGGTGGTACCACCTTTGCTGAGAGAGTGAATGCTGCTGGTGGTACCACCTCTGTTGAGAGGGTGAATGCTGCTGGTGGTACCACCTCTGCTGAGAGTGAATGCTGCTGGTGGTACCAACCTCTGTTGAGAGGGTGAATGCTGCTGGTGGTACCACCTCTGCTGAGAAAGTGAATGCTGCTGGTGGTACCACCTCTGCTGAGAGAGTGAATGCTGCTGGTGGTACTACTTCTACTGAAAGAGTGAATGCTGGTGGTGGTACCAAGCAATATAGACAGATATTTTGCCAGACTCTGCGTGTCCATGGATACCACTACCTATTCTTGATGTAAAATATGTCTCACGAGGATATCTTTGTGTGTGTGTATTGGCAAACCAAACACAACAGAAGGTTTAGGGGGATAAGGTGAATTAACTTTTTTTGCCTTGTTCTGATTGTTTTTGGTTTCCATGTGCGTTGGAGATAAATAAAATAGTCTGCACCTTCAGATAATGATCAATGAATGGTTGCACATGATGCTGCGAAGTATGTCATTCATCATCCATATATAGTACAGTCTAGGGTTCATGATCAGTACTCTATCTCTCTTGTCCTCGATGATGATCCTGTTGTCATTATCCGGCAAGGTTCTTCAAGGCCAGTGATCTTGATGCTAGTGTCTATCAAGGTTCTTCAAGGTCAGTAACCCTGTTATCAGTCTGGCAAGATTCTTCAAGGCTAGAAAGTAACATCTGGATTTGTTTCCCTGAGTAGGGTGCAGGAGGGCCAGCCAGTGTGCTTGTTACACAGGCTTTCTTGAAGTCGGAGTCGTTAAAGCTAAAGGTTTGGACTATTATGTACGTATACGCTAGAGCTTCTGGAGTCCAGTAGTGTATTTTCACTTCAAATTATGGTGCTTCTCTTTCGGTCTAGTTATGTTGTGTCTAGTTATGCTTCCCCAAGAACCGTAGGAACACAAGTGATCACTAGTACAAACGAAGTCACACGGAGAAAATATTTAAGCATGTGAGGGGCGTTTACTGCTACAGTAAAAATAAATACAATGAATTCTTAAAACATCAAAGCAAGTTCTAATATCCAAGGTACATAAAGACACAATATATCTGTAGCAACAGTGTTTAAAACCAGCACGACTGCAGCTCACCTGTAATTGTGAAGGGTTGTTCATCCCCATCGAGGCAATAGGCGATGACAGAGCAAGTAATAACAACGATAGCATTACGGCCGACTGAAAGGTAGAAGACCATCTTTCTTAAGAGTCGCTGACCCAGTCCACGACTGTTGCGGTCCACACACGGCCAGGGTACCGTGCGCACCTCCTGAAGCATTTGCAGTTCATTCATAATTATAGCCAAGAGATATAATGCTGATGTGGAAAATGGGATATATTTCATGGCTAAAGCCTAGTAACTGTAGCAAAGTTCCAGAATACACAATTTACATAGACAACTTTAAGATTTGGAATCCAGCCAGACCCACGGACTAGGTGAATCTGCCCACAGATGAAGCCGAAATATATTAAAATATGTTATGCTCGACAAGGAAAATGAGTATATAAGGAATGGCTTGCTTTTCTCTCTCTTTAAACATTTTTCTCATTGAGTACAGATGTGGGTTAAGATAATCAAAAAAATTAATTTTAGTAAGTGATGCAGGTGGAAGTGGTAATGGCCAGGCTTAGCCTCGTCCTTAACACTGCAATGCCAGCAAGAGGAAAAAATAGCAGACTGGAGAATACATGTGAGGAGTGTGCTTCAAAAAAGGGAAGAACAGTGAAAGTGTGAAGGGTACCCAGGTATATACAAGTGTGAAGGGTACCCAGGTATATACAAGTGTGAAGGGTACCCAGGTATATACAAGTGTGAAGGGTACCCAGGTATATACAAGTGTGAAGGGTACCCAGGTATATACAAGTGTGAAGGGTACCCAGGTATATACAAGTGTGAAGGGTACCCAGGTATATACAAATGTGAAGGGTACCCAGGTATATACAAGTGTGAAGGGTACCCAGGTATATACAAGTGTGAAGGGTACCCAGGTATATACAAGTGTGAAGGGTACCCAGGTATATACAAGTGTGAAGGGTACCAACGTATATAAGTGTGAAGGGTACCCACGTATATACAAGTGTGACGGGTACCCAGGTATATACAAGTGTGAAGGGTACCCAGGTATATACAAGTGTGAAGGGTACCAACGTATATAAAAGTGTGAAGGGTACCCACGTATATACAAGTGTGAAGGGTACCCAGGTATATACAAGTGTGAAGGGTACCCAGGTATATACAAGTGTGAAGGGTACCAACGTATATAAAAGTGTGAAGGGTACCCACGTATATACAAGTGTGAAGGGTACCCAGGTATATACAAATGTGAAGGGTACCCAGGTATATACAAGTGTGAAGGGTACCAACTTATATAAAAGTGTGAAGGGTACCCAGGTATATACAAGTGTGAAGGGTGCCCAGGTATATACAAATGTGAAGGGTACCCAGGTATATACAAGTGTGAAGGGTACCACAGTATATAAAAGTGTGAAGGGTACCCAACTTATATAAATGTGAAGGGTACCCACGTATATACAAGTGTGAAGGGTACCTACGTATATGAAAGGAAGAAGTGAGTAATACTTAAAACTTAAGAAATTTTTCTTTACACATATCAGCTGACAACCATTCTTTACAAAAAAAAAAACATGATGGCAAACATAATTTATCTCTTTCACGACATAAAGACAGTAAACTCAAACAACATTTACAGAAAAATGCGAAACGTACAGACTACGATACACACAGTAATATACGGAGGAAATTGACAACATTCACAGCCTTGATGATGACCTTGAGAGTGGCAACAGGATTAAATTTAATTAACATGTCCAAAAATCAGAGAACTACTGTTACAAGTGTATAAACTAAGATAAAATACTGTATAATGAGAGTCTCTGGAGTTTACATGAATGTAATGAAATTAAAAATCTCAAATTGGTTTCACGAAAAAAAAAGATTAAAAAAAAAATCATTACGTCCACCAGGAAGAACGTGGAGAGATTGAAGTGGTTTAGCCTACAAGATCACAGAGTGATTTTGACGATAAAGAGTGATAAATGGTTTAAAAGTGTCTCAATCTTCAACGACAAAGAGTAAATACGAACATACGTAAGAAAAAGCACACAAGCTCTTCAGTGACAGAAGAGATGAGGAAACTTGTGAGTAAGATAAGATACTGGAAGGCAATGGAACATGACAACAGCTCGTCCGTGGGTTCTGAGGGAGGGAGCACAAGAACTGTGTGAACCACCAGTTGTGTTCGTTAACAAGTTATTTGAAACAGGGCAGCTCCCAGAGTGTGGAACAGGGTATGTAATCCCAATATTTAAGAAAAGGGGATTATTATTATTATTATAATCAAAAAGAAGCGCTAAGCCACAAGGGCTATACAGCGCTGCTAAGAAAAGGGGAAAGACATGTAGTATTAAACTACAAGCCAATGCTACTGACATAGTATGTAAGGTTATGGAGATCATCAGAAGAGTAGTGGAGCACCTAGGAAGGAGTGGATTCATCAACAACGACCAAAAAGGTTTTTAGAGATGGTAAATTTCTGCTACACAAATCTGCTGGAGTTCTACAACAAGGTACTTAAAATAAGACAAGAGAGAGAAAGAGAGGGGAGGGAGGGAGATGGATGAACTATATATTTATGGACTGTAGGAAGGCAATAAAATGCCGCACAAGAGGCTGGGGCAAAATTTAGAGGAACACGCAGGCAGGTGAGGTACACAGCGGGAGGTACACGATGTTAATCAGGTCTAGTGTCAGGAGTTTGAATGAGTGCGTCACAGACAATGGCTGAAATATAAGCTGTTCTCTTAACACTAAGGTGGATCAAGTAATAATTAATAGGAAGGAAACAACGAGTTATTGTCTGGGTGGAGGAGGTGGAATAGGTAAATGTAATGAGTAGGGAGCCATAAGGGTCAGTACCTGGACAGATAGTATCCTGTGTACATAAACAACATGACGGAAGAAACAGAGTCAGAGGTGTCCATGTTCGTAGGTGACACAAAACTAATAAGGAGAATACGAGCAAGGGCAGACCAGGAAAGACTACAAATGTATCATAGCAAACTGCAGGATTGGTCTGACACGTAGCTATTAGAATTTAACCCCAGTGAGTGCAAAGTTTTGAAAGCTGGGAAAGGGCAAAGACGACCAGAAACAGAGTACAGGATCCAGGGACCAAGGCTGTAAACCTCCCTGAAGAGGAAAACCCCGGAGGGAGCATAATTCCCAGCATATCACCTGAGGCTCATAACAACCAACAGCCGCCGCAGCAAACGCGAGACTGGTAAATTTAAAGGTAGCTTTTAGGAACCTAAGCAAGGAATGTCAAGAAGCTATAAAAAATGACAAAAGTTTGCAACGAGTCTAGCCCCCAGAGCAAAGGGGTATGAGCAATGAGCAGAGGCTAAAGAAGCTAAACCTGATGACACTAGAGGACAGAAGGATTAGCGGTGACAAGATTACTATGTACAAAATACGAGGAATTAACAGGGTAGATAGGACCAGTCTATTCGAGAGGCGGGTCTCAGGTACACGAGGGCACAGCTGAAAGTTAAAAACACAGAAGAGTCACAGTGATGTCAGGAAACACTTCATTAGCCATGAGAGTGTTTAGGAAGTGAAACGGCCTAGACAGCGAAGTGGCAGAGGCAGAAACCGTACATCGTTTAAATACGTATAGTAGTACTTACGCAGGACCAGGAGCTGAGAATCGACCCATGCATCCATAGATAGGTGAGGAAGAATGAGAACTTAACAACTATCTTACATACACTCGAGCAGATATACTTCTTAGAAAAAATAAACACTCTTAACGTTAAGAAACTGGACTAAAAAAAATGCGTATCTAGAAAGGACTAAAACAAAAGCCAATTCACACTTTCACAAACACTCAAGATAATCCCACGAGCCTGATAATACCTTTAGGAGAAAAAGGACAATAATACCGACGAGACCGAGGGTTAGGTCTTGCCAGCGGAAATCATGGAGGTTTGAGAAGACCTTCACCCAGGTGTTGATCAGCCCCTTGGTCTGGAGACGAAGACCAAAGAGTTGCTTCAGCTGAGACGAGGCTATGATGACGGCAGCAGCTGAGGTGAACCCACTGATCACTGGCTGAGAGATGAAGTTGATCAGGAACCCTGTTGTATAAATAAATAAATGAATATATAAATAAATGTGTGTGCAAAATATACACACACGTTCACTCATTCTTTCTCTCCTATGAGGAGAATTAAATACTGTACATTGGTCAATTATGTGCTCCTTCCTTAAGTGAATATGACCTGACATGACTAGGTTAAGGCATTGGTTTAAGCCGGTGGGAGAACTGGACCTGCCTCGTATGGGCTAATAGGCCTGATGCAGTGTTCCTTCTTTCTTATGTCCTTATTACAATGTCACCTGGTGTGTGGCCGGCAAGTCTGCCACTTTCCTGTATAACTCTTATCATTAAAACTGCGCTGTACGTGGTTTAGTCAAGCTGAACGCGCCTTGGTTCTGTTCACTGCTGTTGCGGAGAAACTGAAACCGAATGTAGATATCTGCTTCTCTCCCTCTCAGGTGTTTAATTTCAGGATTTAATTAGCATATAGTTTTAATTTTAGAATTTAATTAGTACCCAGAATACACAAGCTTACAGTATAAGCAATGGACAGCGCATATCACACCCTAGCGTGGATGTTCTCTTTTTTATCTCCTGAAGATAGGGAACTTACCTAGGTTGATGATGCCAGCGATCAGTTCTATTGCGCCAGACATGAAGGCGAGGAGAACAGCATAGTCAGCTCCACCTTCACCGGTGTACTGGTACGTCATAAGGGACATGACGGCTGTAGGGCCGATGTTGAGCTCCATCGTCGACCCCAGCAGGAAATACACGAAGCAGGGGATGAAGGACGAGTATAGTCCATACTGTGTAATGGAGAGGGGGAAGCGGGAGCGAGGAATGGCGATGAATAAAAGTCACAACACAAAGGATGCAACAATTAATAACTAACTCGCAACTTTATAATTATAGTCCACGGACAGACCAAAACGTCATTTTTTTTTTTTTGCATTTTTCTGTGTTGCTGTAAAAGAGAGATGTTGGACTGCTGGTGTGAAAACTAAATTGCTACTGCTGCAAAAACTGCACCTCACAATTATAGTGTGAGCGGCAGCCAACCTAGTAATATTACAAGTCAAAATGTGGTTATCAGACCACACTGGATATAGATCTACATATCAATGATACACAATACCGACGAGATAAAGAATTACACACATGTTCAAAAGATACCCAAATGTTGCACATGTGTCTAATTCTTTATCATACATCATAGTTACATCTTTTTGAATTATTACATACATTTTGAAAGATTCGTCAGTTCAGCATGTGGTTACCATCACCAAATTATGATCCTTAAACTTAAGTCACCATTCGTTAATTATATTACCAACATAGTGTATATATTCTATCATTTATCTTCAAAATTATGATCCTTAAACTTAAGTCACCATTCGTTAATCATATTACCAACATAGTGTATATATTCTATCATTTATCTTCAAAATTAGTTACACAGTATTGTGTGGCTATCCTGATTTACTCGACGGAAAGTGTGCCAGCAATCTACAGATGTCAGGTGAGCTTACTATGAGGGTTATCTTAGAAAAAAAATACCACTACCAGGAGAGATTGACGAAAGGGTAGATATAAATGACGGGATTAAGGAAGCATTAAAGGTAGCGAGGCTAGTTGAAAGAGCACACATGAGAATGGATGGCTAAAGATAGTGGCTAGGTGTAAAAGAAAACATGGTAGTGGAAGGATAAAGATAAAGGTTGGGTAAAAGGAAGATACAGTGACAGGATAAACAGGGGAACAATAAGAAAGGGTTACTTACGCTAGGACTGAGGCCAGCTACAAGGCCGTAAGCCAGAGCCTGGGGTATGATCATGAGACCGACGGTGAAGCCAGCTACCAGGTCCCCCAGCAAGCATTCTGTGTTGTAGCTCCTGAGCCAGGTGAGGCACGGCAGCCGGCGGTGTAGCGTCTTCCTGCTCATACACCGACCAACCTTGTTCTGTCCACACCACAGATGACACATACATTACTGCAGGAAAACTACAACACGTCATCAGATATACATTACTGGGGAAACTACAACACGTCATCAGATATACATTACTGAGGAAACTACAACACGTCATCAGATATACATTACTGAGGAAAAACTACTACACGTCATCAGATATACATTACTGGGAAAACTACTACACGTCATCAGATATACATTACTGGGAAAACTACTACACGTCATCAGATATACATTACTGGGAAAACTACTACACGTCATCAGATATACATTACTGGGAAAACTACAAAACGTCATCAGATATACAATTACTGGGAAAACTACTACACGTCATCAGATATACATTACTGGGAAACTAACTACACGTCATCAGATATACATTACTGGGAAAACTACTACACGTCATCAGATATACATTACTGGGAAAACTACTACACGTCATCAATATACATTACTGGGAAAACTACTACACGTCATCAATATACATTACTGGGAAAACTACTACACGTCAACAGATAATATTACTGGGAAAACTACTACACGTCACAGATAACATTACTGGAAAGCTACTACACGTCATCAGACTATACATTACTGGGGAAAACTACTACACGTCACAATAACATTACTGGGAATAACTACGTACACGTCATTCTAGATATATAGTTACTACTGGAAAAGCTACTACAACGTCAAATAGATTATAATCATTACTGGGGAAAGCTACTACACGTCATCAGAACTATATTACTTGGGAAAGCTACTACACGTCATCAGATATATATTACTGGGAAAACTACTACACTCATCAGATATATTACTGGGGAAACTACTACACGTCAACAGATATACTTACGGAATACTACTACACGTCACAGATATACATTACTGGGGGAAAAACTACTACACGTCATCAGATATACATTACTGAGGAAAAATCTACTACACGCATCCCATCATGGAGTATACACTTACCTATGGAGGAAAACTACTACACGTCATCACACATATACATTACTGGGAAAGTTACTACACGTCACACACATTACTGGAGGAAGTTACTACAGCAACACATTACTGGAGGAATTACTACACGTCACACCATTAGGGAGGAAGTTACTCACGCACACACATTACTGGAGGAGCTATTACACGTCACAAAACATTACGGGGAAAGTTACACCGTCACACCATACGGGGGAAAGTTACAACACTCACACACATTACTGGGGAAGTTACTACACTCACACACTTACTGGAGGAAGTTACTACACTCACACACATTACTGGGGAAGTTTATTACACGTCCACCACAACGGGAGGAAGCTTTACCTCACACATACATTACCGGAAAAAAACTAGGACAACAAAAGAATATTACCGGGAAAACTACAGTCAACATTTCCCTTTACGAAGCTTCTCTAAACAGCGGCTTTTTAATGCGAATGAAAAATAACCACAACTGAACAATGTGTTACAGATTTCACAATATCTGTTGCTTAATTTTGCTTTCACTCTTATATCGCATTTACCGAAAAAAAAAATCGCTTATAATGGGGAACTTCAAAACCTGACTGAGCACATTTGATAAAAATACTATGAAGGACAATAAAAAGCAATAACTATCACCTTATTTTTTTTTATTATTACAATCAAAACAAGCGCTAAACCAAAAGGGACTACAGCGCTGCTATCTATTACCGTAAAGAACATAAAAAAAAGGTATCTCCAAGGAATATACTATGAGGCTAATATAAAATTTAAACAAAAATTAAATATATGACACTTAATATATATATATATATATATATAACATTATAATAATAATATATATAAAATATATATATAATTTATATAATATAATATATATATATATATATATAATATATATATATATAAAAAACTGTATAAGTCGTCCCAATATAAAACGGGGCAATTAGCAAAAACTCTTTAAAAATTTAAACCCTTTCTAAAAATTTTTTCTTTTACGTTTAAAAATATTTTTTTTTCATTAATGTTAAGAAAAAATTTATAATTTTGCACCAAAAGGGAAATTTGAAAACTTACTTAACCTTTTATAACAAAACAATTTTTTTTTAGCCAACCCAACCAAATATATTTTTTGATTTGTTTTAAAAAAATTTAAACTAAAAAACCAGGGGAAAATATTTTTTTCGTTAGGGTTTAGAATATTTTGGCGAAATTTTTGCATACACAAATTTTTACTTGTCCTATATGGGAAGATGAGCGTTGCATTTAAGCCAAATTTGCAAGTTCTGCCTATTCGGCACACTATATTTTTTTTTTTTTTTTTTTTTTAACAATCGGTCGTCTCCCCCGGGCAGGGTGCCCACAAAAAAAAAAAGAAAATCCCCAAAAAGAAAATACTTTCATCATCATTCAACACTTTCACCACACTCACACATTATCACTGCTTTTGCAGAGGTGCTCAGAATATAACAGTTTAGAAGCATATACGTATAGAGAT